CATATCATGATGTTGCTTAACGGTCCGGTTGTAAGCATTTTTGCTTTCTTGCTGTTGAGATATAATCCATACTGAAGGCCTTTGAATTTTAGTAGATACTTCTAGTTCTCTTCCATTTTAGCATGTTTCTGTCTGACTGATAATTCTTCCTCCAGTCTGATGCTATATTCTTCTTCTTGTTCTCTAGCATTCAGCATACAGACTGATTAGGTGTGTTGAAAGGATACGGCACTGGTTCACATAATCTGATTTTAAACTTTCCAGTACCCCCTTGTCCTGTTTGCATGACTACTTGGTCTATGTACAGATTCTGGATGAGCACAGTTAAGGGTTCTAGGATTCCTGTTCTTCTTGCTGTCGTCCATAATTTATTATAATATGTACAGTTGGATGCTTTTACATAGTCAATAAAGCACAAGTAGACATCTTTCTGGTACCCTCTGTTTTCAGTCTAGATCCATCTGACATCCGCAGAGGTATCTCTCATTCCACAATCTGTTGTGAATCCAGCTTGAATGTATAGATTCACAGCACTGGAAATTCTATAGGGCAGGTCTACTTTGTCCTGTAGGCTTTCTGTAATTTTGGAATAGACTCCATGACAGTGGATCTCTGGATTTTATATTAAAGAAGCATGACTAGTAGCATTCTTTTCCTCTTTGAGTTCATCATCAGTATATTTCTGTGTATTTACTGAAGCTGTACCAGTGTAGTTGCTTAGGATTTGATTTTACTAATTTATGGAGAAAGGCAAATGATATGGGTATTTTCTTTGGGTGTTTTGTGCGCGCTGAATAGCATGGAGGGAGAGCTTGTTTTCTGCCTGTGCTTCCTTTGCTAATTGTGTGCTGACTTGGGTTCTCCTGAAAGTTGGGAGCATCCTATTGGAAAGCCTACATTGGTTTTGTGTCCTTTAGTGGAGGAAATGGAGAATCCAGGTTATGAGGTAGCTTGCTTGATATGTCAAAGTCTGGTGCAATGCTTGGAAGAGCCTGTTGCGGAAGTTGGATTCCTGTAAGAGTAGGATTTATGGGACTGTACCTAATCAAATTGCTCCTCAGGATCCTGGACTAAATTGATCAGATGATACCATGACGCTTTAAGTACTTAGGCATCCAGATTGGTTTTTCCTCATCTCATTCCCTGCACTGCTGTCAGCATGGACAGCCTTGAGACAGTTGACACTTGAAATGAGTAGAATATGGAGATAAAAATGTTTAGTAATTTAATTTGAAAGAAAGATCTTTGAAAATATATTGAAACCTATTTTATGACCTACCATATGCCTTCCCTCTCCTCTACTTTCCTACTCGATTTGGTGAAAGATCACGTGCATTTGAAAACAATGTGCGTTCTGCAGTTGTTGGGTTTCCCTGTTCCATAGCTCCTGGGTGGTCAAATGATTAATGTGCTCCATGCTTGCTATTAAAAAGGTTCAAGTTTACCCAGAGGAGTCTTCCAAAGAAAGGCATGATGATCCACGAAGTCAAAATGATTGCCATGAGTGAAAATGGATTCAATGGCAATTTTTTTTTTTAAGAATTTTTTTTTTCCTTTTTAATTTTGTGTGCGTGTACCGTCAAATCAAATCTGACTGGTACAGGAGGATATTGCGCCTCCTTCTCCGGCAGAGCATCTGGTGCAATTTTTTTTTTTTAGAGATTAATTAGATTCAACTCAAATAACTCAGTTGTCATTAAATTAGAACCAAATCTTAGCTAACCCTCCAGTGGGTTTCTAAGGCTGTAAATTGTTTAGGAGAAGATTGCCCTTTTCCCTACTGTGGAACAGGAACTGCCACAAGACTGGTAAGATTCCAACTGCCAGCCTTTTGGGTTGGCCCCATAACACTTGACCCACTGAGCCACTGGGTTAAGGTGGTTGATACTATTGATCAAACCTTTGGGGTAATTTGTTGAGAGTGTGTGTTTATACTAAAAATTTATGTAGTTTTCTGTGTACATTATTAACTATGATAGCTCACAATAATCAATGGAAAGACAGGCTCTATACAATGTATTAAAATCAAAGCGTAATTAATAAACTATATTTTAGGTTTTTTTAATGTGAAAATTTGAAGATGATTTGATATATTTATCTTCTGGGATTTTTTGGTATTTTTCTATGTAAGTTTAAAAACATCCTTAGGTCTGAGAGAAAAAGTTGAAAAAGTAAATATTTGCACAGACTGACACCACGCACATAGATATTCTCATTGCCATCAAGTAGGAATTGGCTCACAGCTGACCCTCCAGTAGGTTTTCCTGTAAATTGCACAGGAGGAGATTGCCCATGTCTCTGAGTAGCAGTTGGTGGATTTGTGCTGTTTTTGGATTGGCAGTGCAGCTCCTTACACACAAGGTCACCAGAGATTAGTAGGTAGGTAGGCAGATAGATGTAGATGATATAGATATAGATACTTTTCTAGTTAGAGATATTGCTATAGATACAGGTGATATGGATATCTATGTTATAGATATCAATGCTATAGATATAGATGGGTTCTGAACCTTTAAATTCACAGGAGAGGTTGTCCATCTTTCTCTCTCAAAGCTGCTGGGGGATTTGAACTGCCTGACTGGTGTCACCTTTAAGTTAACAGCATGGTGTTCAAATGGAAAAAATACATTCTAGTACAATGTAGCACACACCAAGATAGTTTTATTTGTTCAGAAATATTTTAGAAGTATGTAACTATGTATTTTTGGATGCGCTTCTTAGATTGTAAAGGACCAACTTTAAGTGGTGATGTACAAAGTGTATTTGGTGGCCCAGCAGAGCAACACCCGGATTCCTTGGCATCATTAGATGCAGTATTCAACGCGAGGGACTGTGTAATGTTGTCATTTCAATGGCTTCTTTCCATGACTCTGAAATCTGATTCTGCTTTAATTATCCTGGAGTGTTTTCGGCTATTTTTGGCAGCTACTAGAGTAGTAGAATCTTGACACCTGTTTTGTTATTCAGTTTAACAAAGGCCTTATACTTCCCTAAACAACAAATTTCCTCTTAAAAAAAGATCTGCTTCATGAAAATCCCCTGAGTGAATGTTTAAAATGAATGCTTGTTTTGGC